TATGGTTTTGACCGATAATTTTATTAAATGGTTTTGATGGATGTTAGGTTTTGATTGATAGTAGTATTTTACATTTTTATGATATAATTGTAAAATTAATATTTATATATGATTATTTACTTATGTAAAATTTGTATTTAAATGTTTAATTTATATAAAGATACATTTATCATATGTAAGATAGAATCATCTCCATCAATTTACACTAATTTAGTTCATTTCGATGAGTTTTGTTTTAGAAACAGATTAAAACTTATTTTAAAAGACTATAAAGTCCACAAAACAAACAGTCCCACTATATGTAGTTCAGTTGTTGTGCTATCCGTATGTGATATATTACAAATGATAACTTATTTTGCTAAAACTACTACCGAAAAATCTAAAATATGAGTTATATTTGTAGATTTCGTTGATTAGGTATTTATACTGAACTAGATTAAAATCCACCTCTTGCGTGGAATAAACATCTTACATATATATCATATTTTATGTATTATTACTTGTTTTATATTTTTATCTATTATGAAATAATAAATTAATATATTGAATAGTTAAGAAACCAGTAACTATTATGTATATAATAAATTTGTGCACACATATAAATAAAAAATCACTCTTTTTATTAATGATAATTTAAAAAAAATCAATTTCTTTTATATATTTTATATGATATATAACTGAATTTAAATGATATTAATATAATATAAAATATATTTTTAATATGCCATACTTATCAAATGAAGTTTCTAAGCATATGGTTTTGTGATTATTAACATCTTCTTTTAAAATATATTTAAACCATTGATAATATTTTTTAATGTGGGGTGTTTAATAGTTATAATCATTTATAATCATTTTTAAAATTCAATGCAAATTAAATTTAATAATTAAGTTCTCAATATTTGTTCAATACAAATATCGAAATATAAGTATATATTTTTATATGGTATATAGTTCAATTTAAATGATATAAATATATATATATATATATAAATGTATATACATATATATAAGTACCTATTACATAAGATTTCTTACTCATGTAGTTTTATGATCATTTGTATCTTATTATAGTAAAAAATTAAATTTTTAATCACAAAAATGTATGTGAGATTTTTAACAGTCCAGTAATATATACTCGTTTAAAAAAAAATTGAAAATACAAGATAAACGAAAAAATCTACTTTCTTATTATATAGATAATGTAATTATAATTTATTCTAATAACAGAGGATTATACAAAAGTGATAGAAGGTATACAAAATGTTAGCAAACTTAATTATTGAAAATTATTAACTGTCATATATTTATAATTAATCACATTACGTAATTTTGTATCTTTTATTTAAGGAAATTATGGAGAATTACATTTTTGAAGTGATACAATATTTTGGTTAGTTTAATGAAAACTATAGTTTATATATAGATGCATCAACTAATTTTTCTAAGGATTTTCAAGAATCATTCTCATGACGATACGTGTTATGAATTAAATGTTGTAATGCTTCTTTTTAATATATAAGATATTGGTTAAAATGTTCTTTCCAAAAAAATTATGATAAAAACATAGTTTAAAAAAAAGTGAATTGGTTGAAGTATTTATTTTCGACAAAATAGTCTAGATAACCAAATCGATAGTATATTATCAACATAATGAGTATTTTAAAACATTGAATTTTTTTTTTTACATTTTAACACTTTTCCCACAAATTTATTAAATGAATATCACAAACTGTTTACAAGATACAGAAACAGTCTAAAGACAATAATTAACACAAATATAGAAAATCGAAACAATTTCGATAAAGTTGAAAATAATCATGTTTTCTGTTCAGATTATAGGCTAATATATAAAATTTGTTATGTCCCTCTTTCACAAACTTTTCTAGCTATCACTTGAACCTGAACTTTGTCTTCTTGATAATATCATTATACGAGAGAAATTCAGCAAGAATTCCATCACTTCATATTTGAAAAATCCCTGTATAATCTGTCCATTTAATTTGGAGCGGATGTCGTGGCTGATATTTATTACTCTGGAAATCCACAGATGCACTACATAAAGACCTTCATTATTCTTCAGCAAATACATATTTCCATTTCCAAAGGCTCATTCTTAGATTTTTGAGATTTGGCACTACTAAATGAAGACCAGTGATTTGTAGTCCACAACTCTTGGTGATGTGATCGCCAAAAGACAACCATATATATAAATATATATCTTTTTATGGATTCTGGTGAATCCAAACTTCTTCCCTTTTGCTTCAGAATTTCTGAGATCTTCCCAAAGTTCCATTTCACTATCATTTAAACCAACATCAATAACTCCTGGATCCTAAATCCATGGATGTATCTATTGGATACCAAAGACTTGAAAGAACAAGTTAGTGCAATTTTCTCTTTCATTCTGTTCACATGGAGCCTACTAAATTCAAACATGAAAAGTAGGGGATCATTCAACAATCCTAAAACCAAACTGGATATGGGGATGATTGGTTGAGATATAGCTGTTAAAGTTACATTTTGTTTCTATTTATTCACCAATTATGTTTTAAGTAATTTTTAAAGTTAAAGTAAAAAAAAATAGAGAAATGGTTGTAAGTGGTTGTAGGAATATCTTTTCTTTTTATATTTTTTCTCATTTAATTTTTACATTTACACTAGATACAGCTACATTAAAAAATTATACAGACAAAATTCTACAGTAAAATTTCTAAAGCTAATGTACAACCAATCCCCCATAGTTGCATAACTAAATAAGTGGAGATATGGAGATCAAGCTCTTACACTTACAGAAATATTATCAGCAATTAGGAAATTAGGAAAACGCCTTCTATATTCTTAACCAAGTTTCCGGTTTGATTTTGTTATCTTGATCGGACCATTTGGTGCATATCAATACTCCCCCTATTCAACATGAACCTTGTCCTCAAGGTTCTTGTGAAAGCTTGTTTATCTTTTCACTTTGCTTTAGTTGGTGAAAATCCTTGCCACTACACCCACGTAAACACTTGACTTGTGGACTTAATTTCTTGTCGTTGCTTCCACCTCTTTGTATGCATTGTCTTCTTCCTTTTCTCAGTTGGTGAGATCTTCTTTCTCTTCCTTTTGTTTCTCTGTCGTTTTTGCTCCAGAAAGTTTGATTTTGGTGACTGATCCGATTTGATCGAGCTCTTCTACGTTTTGGTGGTGATGTCTTTGATTGACCAATTGATAGAATCGTGTAAGACAAAACGGTTCGTGCCGAACGAGATACAGTACCGTCATTGGCTCCCACATCACCAGTGTTCATCTTTCTCACTATCTCCATCATATGATTCATGGTAGTCTCAAGAGTCCTAAAATCTTCAGTCATACAGACCTTCATCTTTTGGAGCTCATTGTGCATTGTGGGAGGAGTTTGATCTTTATATCTTCACATATCATCACAACAAATTTTTTTAATTAATAGGAAAACAAAGATATATTTTGATACCACAATGTGGTCCTGATAAAAAACAAAACATTCCTTGATGCCAATTAAAGCCTCTCCTCAAAGTTAAAAGAGTTTGCTGTGATTCCAGTTAATAGATCCCATAGACTTAGAGAACAAGTTTCTTCAATTTTCTCTTCATATTCCTTCTCTTCACACGGAGCTTATTAAATACAAACGATGGAAAGTCGTGGATCGTTCAACAATCGTAAAACCTAGGATACACAACTGCATAACCTAGGAGATTAAGCTCATACACTTACGGAAACATTATCAGAAACTAGGAAATTATGAAATGCCTTAGGTTTGATTTGTTTATCTTGATCAAACCATTTGGTTCGCATCAGTACCGATTTTGAAATCTTTAAATCATAATGACAATTTGATTTACGAAGATGAAACTGACAGGTTTCAAATGTGAACAATAGATGCCGCATACAGAACGTGAGAGCAGAATAAAATCAACACAAACATACATGGTTCCTTGCCTGGTAAGGTCGGAAAAAGACTCATGTAAGGAGAGGTGAGAAGAGCGAGAATTTGAGTACTATCAAATTCATCGATCTGTATTATTGAAA